TTTTGGGAGCCGTTTCGCAGACGGACTATATCGGGGATTCTATGACACGTCCGGCTGCAACGCAGGCTAATGTACAGCCGGCTGGGTTGATTTTGAGACAGCTGAGACAGGTCCAAGTGGGAAGGGAGGGTAGGGGTAACTTTCATTCACAAGCTTTATGAGTTGTTTTGTGCCACTAAATGGCAGCTTTTTCCTCATTTAAGTCCAGATCTGTTTGTTTTTTCAATGTCTTCTTCGTTAAACTTTTGCATGTGGAGATTTTTAGGGGGTTCAATCTGGCTTAATTCATCAGATTTGCCTCCCGTCCCCCAGGAGTTGTGGCTAGGCTGAAGGGCTGGTAGAAAGTCTCACCATTTCAAATAACATCAATCTCTTTCCTCTAGTCTTTATTCACAGCCATCGCAGGTTTGATTTTCAGTGGTTGGTTTTAAAACAACAAGAACGAGTGGAAATAAAGAAAATAGGCTCGCAAAGCGTGCATTTGGCTACTGCTTAACAGTTTATGCTTAATGCAATCAGAGCAAAGAGATTACTACTTAAAGAAGTGAATGTAACGATTTATCAAACATGGTTATTTTGACAAAAAAAAGCATTCATTATCAGGTAATTGAATTTCTAACATGATGTTTCTTGAGTAGTTTAGAGACAAGACTGTGTACAACAGTGGAATGATCCAGTTGTGCATATGATGTTGAGATTTAATCCAGTGTTCTTTGAACTGAACATGCACAAGTTAATCACATACATGAGTATTAAGCTCTTTTGGCTCTTCTTGTGATCTAATATATAGAACCTACTGGTTATTAACTGTAACAATTTTTGAACTCGAATTACCATACAGCATACCAGGGAATGCGAAGCTCCTAGCACAATGGTGCATAGCTTTAGAAAGGTCCCCCATCCTAAATTTTTGTGATTGATATAGATGCCATTTGATGAATAATCAATTGTTTGAAAATGACAAAGTCACACATTCAGCAGTTCTGAAGCTCTAAGTACAGTGTCAAATTATTGAAGACCGTATCTCAGTCGCTATGTGCTTGCTACTACCCCAAGTCAGTGATGCTTAGTGGTCCCTGTAAATGACAGTGTAAATATATGTCATGCAGCTTATGAGATGACTTTGTCACTGACTGTAAACCGAAATGTTTTGATTGAAAAATATTCTAGTAGTTGGTTTTCGGTACAATCAGTGACTTTATTTGCTACCTACCTCAACTCAATCACTCGATGGTTAGGCATTACAGGAAGCTAGAAAATAATATCAACAAGAAATTTGGCTGCTCAGATTGATTACTGTATGTATAAGCCATTGAGCACCAGTAGCAAAACATGCTTAAATTTTTCACAAAAGCAGTGCTCAGGCATATCATTTGAGTCATATATTTAAATCAGTAAGTTATTGGACGTTGTAGTGTACAATGTCCCCTGGACATTTTGTACTTTGTTGAGCAAAAAATGTGTAATAAGATTTTTATCATCAAACTATCCTTTTTTACCCATTTTACCAACATAATATTCAAGAGAGAGTCAATGAAATTGCTGATACACGTTTACAGAAGAACAGTATTTTAGGGATTTGAAGTGTTGTCAGTCTTGCCCGTGGTGAAGGGCAATGCTACATTTCCCTAGAATTTTCATGAACATTCATGCTTACTTTATTCATTTTCATCACCTAGTATTTTTTTTTTTTGTGACTCAACATTTTTGCTATTTAACAATTAGACCTGTAGCCCTTGCGGGCTACGGGTCAATAGCCCATGAGGCGAAGCCGAATGGGCTATTGACCCGTGGCCTTTGAGGGCGAAGGTGTCGAGTTATTTGGGCTTACGATAGTCTTCAGTGAACAACACGTGTTAACTTCAAGACGCCATCTTTAATAACCAACATGCATCTCGCACGTAACTAACTTGAACAATACTTCATGTAAGCTAACACAACAGAAGGGTCTAATTGTTTTAGTATTACCCAACTAGTTGAACAGAAAAGGCAATAATAAAGTTAGCAAATGCAAGTTGAAGAAATATTTATTTGGGAATAAGACGAAAGAAAGCGTCACACTCGATTGCACCAATTTCGCTAGTTGAGGACTATTACTAATAGTCCTCTAGAAGCGCAGCCAATTAAAATACAGGATTTGCATTAGTCCACTAGCTGGGTGATACTAATTGCATTTATTGTTGCTCGTAATTGATTATCCCATACTACATAGTTAACAGTTTAATGTTGTGAATTTCTTTGTTGCATCAAATAATGTATTATTCTGGATTAAAATCAATCCCATCATTTCTATAGAAATTGCTATAATCAAGCAATCAACGGCCTGCACTACCTTCTAAGGGTTGATATTTAATGACAATACAAAACTCTTATATTGGAACTATATAAAAAATTGACATTGATTGCACTAGCCTTACATGGTAGCCATGGCAGCATACTGGCAGTATTCATGAGAATAGAACATCAGTAAGAACACTAACAATATATTACCTGTATCTTGAACTGTCTTGCACTAGCTTTTGAAATGCAGTTCGTGTTGCTAGCAATCTGCATTCATATTCATTTGAATTGTTGTTATTCTAGTTGTTATTGTGGAAAATTACCATGCCATTATAAACAGCACATGGCGTTTTTACTTTACTACATGTCTGTGGCACGTTCCACAAACCCATTCATTAACATCAACACTTATTTTATATTACTCATGTTAGCCTATTGATGACGCGCTAGTTAGTGTGTTTAGCTATCAATGATGGAAACGGTAACACGATTCAGTTAAAAAGTCTACAGTCTGCAATCTGTATTTTACCCTGACAGTCTGCATTTTACCCCGGTCTGCAGTCTGCAGTCCATTTCTGTGTTTTACACCGTCCGATTTAACACTGAATTAGAATCAGTGCTGCATATTCCTCTTAAGAGGAAGCAATATTACTTACTTGTTGCAGGACTGGGATATGACATTGAAACATGTTTTTCTGACGAATTACATGACACTGTAAATATGTTTCAATTATGTATTTCACAAAACAATTGCTGTAGAAACTGTCTTTGGTAAATCTACCTGGCCTGTTTCAGTGGGTTCAAAAGTCTTCTCAGTGACATATCGGATGAATCTGTATCTCTTACTATCACAAGAAGTGCTATATTATTGTCACATTCCACAATTAGCAACAGACACAGCTTTGTCAGCTTTCAAGCACATGTCAGTGTCCAGCAGGCTATTTCGCTTCGCATGTACAGCATTATAACAACCATGGATGTTGCACTATTCCTCTGTGTTTCACTACTACCAGTGACCTCTCTAGTCACCTTTTCGTTTCCCAAAGGAAATACTTTTGTGTCTCTAGAGACGCATTTTGTTCTTCGAAGGGAATTCACGAATTCCCAAAGGCTAGATTTTTTCTGGTTTGTGTCTCGCAGGACAATATTTTGATCTTCGAAGGGAATAATTATGGTATCATGGTAGGTGGATTTTTACGAAAAATGCGAAAAATCTTTCTTTGGCTGTTCAAATTGAGAAGACTGAGATAAGTATTTTGCAAAAAGAATGGGGAAAGGCTTTTTTTACTTTTTAAGTTAAAGCAAAAAAACTATTTTTGAATATTATTAACCCCTTACAGCGCGTTGACACCTCTAATTAAAATTCACCGCCAGTTGT